ACAACTTATCCTTTTCTTCTTCGATCGCTTCTAGGGTTTTCTCACTCCCACACGTCCGCCGCGCCTCTCTCTCGTCGACTCCCCCGTCCACCGCGCCTCTCCTCTAGTCGACACCCCCGTCCGCCGCCGGCCATCTCGACTTCGTCCTTCGGGTCTCCCCAGTCCGCTGCACCTACCCCGTCTGTCGCGCCTCACGTTGCCATCCCCTATCAAGCATCCTGCGATTTGGGGTACATATCTCTCTCCTTTTCAATCATCAAACTAGGGTTTCAATTTTTCTTTTTTTTCACTATTTAATGAAAATTTTATTTGATTTCACAAATTAGGGCTTCGTTGTCACGGCTGATCATTGAAAGTGGTTGACAATTCTACATCTTTACTGAGCAGGGTAAAATCTGATTTCACAAATTAGGGCTTTGTCCGTTTGGCCTTCACAAATTAGGGCTTTATGTTTTGCGTATATGGGTTGAGTATAATTTGTTATTTTCTTTATGTTTAGAGTATGAATTAGTAGTTTAAAGAACTTAGAATTTGTGCAAGATTGCAGCTTATGATTTTGTAACTATGAAAATTTGAGATACAGATCCCGATTGTATTCTTTAGTTACCGTGGAACTTTATTTTATTGAATTCCACTCGATTTTGTTCATTATACAGCAAACTATTAACGTATTGTCTATCCTTAAAAATTGAGATATCGTAGTAAATTGAATTCCATTAGATTTGAACTATCCGGACTTGGTTATTCCAATTTATGAGCAAAATGTACACCTCAGATATAATATTCTTTCAAATAAACTAACAAGAGAGATTAATTCCTGTCTATCAATAATTAATACTGACAACGATATTGCATGGAGTCTCTCTCATTTATTCATTTTCCTGCTGCCAACTAATTATAATTTAATTTTGGGATAGGATATGTGCATTGAAAGTTCGATTAACGATTTTCATTGTGAAAGAAATTAATTGCAAAGCCCTATTAAATTTGATAGCAAGTGGCTGCAACAACTTTGGAGTGAAAATATCAGAACACCAACTGTATTAATGGTGCACCAACGCGAGTAAATTTCTTTTTCAGTGCATCAATTACTAAACTTCCCTTTTATTTAACTCATTCAAGGGTAGAGCGGTCTTTGATCGGGTTTATCGAGTTCTTTCTATAGCGTACCATTATTAATGAGTAAGTATATCAGTGGTTTTGACCCATTGTAGTTTAAATAGTTCAGAATCTGGTGGATTTTCTTTTACTTATACCTATCCTTTTCTACATGCAAATATACACTAGTATAAAATAGGTCAGCCCAAACAGTTGGAACCGTTTGGGAAAACCCCCTCCCAAACGGTTACAACCGTTTGGGCGACATAAAAAACTCGTTTGGGCTAAAGCCGTTGGGGACAAGTTGTCCCCAACGGTCGCCCAAACGGTTTTAACCGTTTGGGATGTTGCCCAAACGTTTACAACCGTTTGGGCTGTAAAACTGCGCCAAACGGATATAACCGTTTGGGCAAAATTTAGCCCAAACGGTTATACCCGTTTGGGCAATTATTAGCCCAAACGGTTAAACCCGTTTGGGCCAAGAAATGCCCAAACAGTTACAACCGTTTGGGCTAATATTTGCCCAAACGGGTATAACCGTTTGGGCAAAAGTTAGCCCAAACGGATATAACCGTTTGGCTATTTATTTTAATAGTTTAAAAATTTTAGCTTCTTTATTTATCTACCTGTTTGTATACACATCTCACAATAAGTACTCAACATCTCACAATGAAATCAAAATATTCTCATACTTTGCTAAATATCCAATGCTATATATTCATACACAATGTTTACTCAATATACTTAGTGACAAAACATATACATACATAATGATTACTCAATATCTCACAATGAAAAGCATCTAATATTATATATTTGTCTCTAATATCCAAAATACACAACATAATCAATCAAGTCAAGGAAAAGAAGAGATTCCTCGAAGAATGTCCTCTTGGGACAAACCTGAACGCCTCAAGTCTGCAAATATCCTAACAAGATTCTCCTGTGATAAACCTTGAGCACTGGAAGTAGAAGTATTACAAGTCGAAGCAGGATGAGCAGAATGTAGTATATTGGCAGCGGGCTGAGGAATTAGAACAGGACGAGTAAAAGATGGTGGATCATTAGGAGTGTGAGCATGACAATCGCCCTGAGAATTAACCTGTAAAGTAATAGCAATGTATGAGTATATACGTGACTGAGTGTTAAGTCTATGCATATGTTTATGTGTATATAAGTATTAGATGTATGTATATGTGTATGCTAGCGTACATGTGTATACGAGTGTGTATATTAGCATATGTACCATATTGTTATTAATCCAATGCATCTGAAACCTAAGCTCCTCCCTAAGACTGTCCATCTCAGATACCCGAGCTCTAAGATCAACAACCTCGCGACGTAGCTCCTGATTAGAAGTGCCGATTTCTGATATGTTGGACGCCCTCAAATAAGACCGAGTGACACCAATGCCCATAGCTCTTTCATAACCACCGTGATGCCCTCCGTGCAAGGAATCTAACATCTGGATGAAAGAAAGTGCATCATCCTCTGGGGTTGAATCGACCCCTGACGAGGTTGCCTTTTCGATGACCCGCTCCTACACAATACAAAGTATTCAAATATAAGTCAACAAGGCAAGAGTAGATATTCAAATATAAGTCAACTAAGACCGGCATTGCATCATAGAAGTCAACTAAGACCGGCATTGCATCATAGAATTACTCACATGATTATCAAAAGGAATTTTACTAGCTGGTGATGATATATAAGCAGCTAAACCATACTTTGTTTTTTAGTGTTAGGTAGGTATAGGAAAAGTAATCGATCCTTATGTCTTTTGGTTTCACCTTTCAAAGGGTTAGATATTTTGCTTTTCTTACCATTAATTCAGTTGTTACCCGTGCGATGCACATGACTGGACCAAATTAAGAAAACGTCGGAGTACGCCCTCTGAATCATAATATATGCACAATGTAGCTCATGAGTCTTTATCAATCCAAAAAAACACCAGAGTACGTCAAAGAGCCTCCCTCTCTGCTTCGGGAGTATTTTTCCACACCTCATAACACTCATGTTTTACCTGACACCTATTATATCGGACCCTCTCCTGCAGCTGAGACTTCATTCCTCGATAAACAATATGATCCGAGAGAGGCTGATTAGGATCCACGAGGAGAAACTCATAATCCTTCTGCAAATTCAATAAACGAATCACATGGTTAAAATATTATGTACCAAATGATAACAAATTAATCGGATAAATCAAAATACAAATATAATTATACCTGACATCTTATAAAGAAATCGTCAAATGACCTATTATGTTCATCACCCCATTCTAAATGGAGAGGATATTTGCAGTACACACGGTTCTCCGCCCCCACATACTTTCCCCATTTCTCAGTATAGTCACCAATGGGACGGCCCCTATTATTGAGGTACAGAGGCCATGCCTTCTCACCCTTTTCAGCATCGGGCTTAAGCTTATGGGAAGTTTTAAGTAGAATTTAACAGTATTAAAACATGCCTTAGTTGTGTGATGTTTCAGAAAAACAGATACAAAGTTTTATGCCATGATTATATGAAATTTACAAGTTATATGTCAGAATACTTATGACATGTTTGGGAGATCACTAAGGGAAGGGAAGGAAGATTAAACTTTTCCTTCTGTTCCCTTCCCCTCCTTTACTCCCCAATTTGGGGGGTTAAGATTTTAGTGCAAAATTTCCCTAACTTCTACTCCTCTACCCTCCTAATAGAACTCCCAAACAAGGTTAAATCCAAATTCCTCTTCCCCTTTCCTCCTCCACCCTCCATCCAAACACACCATAATAAGGAATATGATGAATAAGAAACGATACAAGTGAAATAACTGTTGTGGAAGCGAGCTTAAGTTATACATGGTTATGATCATTTGTTGCAAAATAAAAAAAGTAGAAGGTATTTTCATTTTGAGAGAGGTAAGTACGTTCAATAAGATTAGCCGATGTGCTTCGGAAAAGTTACCAAGTAACAATTGAAATAAATGAACAAAAAACATATGGTGTCTGGTGTAGTTCATACAACAACAGCAAGGAAATAATAACAGATCTGTAGAAGGGAGGTGATATACAGAAGAATGAGATACAAAATGAAGTTTATACTTAGTCATGTACACAGCTGAATTGGAAATGTTTGCTGATTAGCAATCAAAACAGACAGGCTGAAAATCCATGGTGCTTTTGTTCATAAAAACGGAGGAAAAAGGCAGACATAATGAACAACAAAACCGAGAGCCTTAAGTGAAGATTGAATGATCAAACTTGTACAACCAAACTGGTTTTGCTTGAAATAAATTAATCTAACATCATGAAGTGGTTCTTCAAAGACAACAGCAGGAGCAAATAATATACTGGATCTGTAGAGGAGTCTACACAATGCATAGGAGAACAGAGTAAAGATTCTACTTGATCAGACCCACACAATTGAATTGAAAATTTATGTTGATTAAATAATGATGACATAAAAAATTAGAAAATCATTTTCTGTTTTCATGAACCAATAACCGAGGTGAATAATAAGCAAGATCTGTAGCAGACACATGACATGCAACTATAGTTCAAGTATTTATAGCTATGATGCCTCAAAATAATGATTAGACACATGACATGCAACTATAGTTCAAGTATTTATAGCTATGATGCCTCAAAATAATGATTAAATCATTAAAAAGCTATCACTATAGTTCAAGTATTTATAGCTATGATGCCTCAAAATAATGATTAAATCATTAAAAAGCTATCAGAGATATTGACTGAATAAGTACATATGTATACCATGCCAGAACAAAGAAATAAAGGGGTAAATGTAACCTTTCTAAGTACAGGGCCATGTCCAGAAGTTAAAGTAGCTCATAATTGCATCACTCAAGATTTGAAAAAAAAAGATAAAGAAAAATGAACACAAGATTCAAAACAAAGATTAAAATGCTGGTATCAACCAATACTTCAAACCTCAGCTTCTAACTTGTTTATGATCGCAATGTTGTTAAATGTCAAAAGCCTTCGACCGTGTTAACAACCAATCCATAACTCTTCAATTTTTACCAGAAAAGCATAATGGAAGGGTAAAACTAAAATCTCAAGATAAAGAAAATACAGTGGAAGCCCCATCAGGGTAAGTGAAGTGCTACCAAGGAAACCTGCTTGAACTGTAATATGTCTCCACTCATCTCAAAGAAATGCTATTAGACAAAATTATGCGCATGCTAAGTGCTACGCAAATCTCCCCCCTAGACGAACGCAATGTGATCAATTCTTCATACGAAAAATGGGCAAGTGACCAACTTAACTAACCTATTTCTTAAAACATAGTTTCCTTTGATTACAATCATAAATATAAAAAAAAAATTGAAGCTCAACTTGATTCATGTGCATCTAATAATAACAAACATATGAAATTACGTTGGACCGATGCAATCTCAAACACATGAATTTAGGGAAGACAGCAACACCGAATTCCAAATTAAAACAGACCTATTGAAATCTTTTTAAAATCGAGAAAAACAAGGTCTATAACTGCACAGCGTATGTTCAACACAAGGATCTCACAGTATGTTATCTGAATTTTACATAGAACAATAAGGGGGAGCAATAATGAAGCATGGTACAAAGGTTCAATACATTTCTACGATTAAATACTAAAAGAAGCAAATTTTCAGGGGAATCACGGAGAATAGACGAGAAGATGGAGGAATAATACAATCTACCTTATTAGGGTTCGAATAATTAGGGATTTTCGAATAAAGTTTTTTAGGGTTTAGGGTTTTACCTCGACTCTTGAAGAACCAAGGGAGGCCGAAGATAACTCCGATGATGACGATGCCGCCGAAAACATGCTTCTTTTCGCCGCTGTACAAGTAGCGCTCTATCCGACCCCTAAATCCTCCGCCGCCGCCGACAATAGCACGTTAGAAGCTCCGCTTCCTTCTCCCGCCATTTCGTTGGATTTCTTTTTGATTTGGAAACTCGAATCGATCGATCGATCGAATTAAGCCCTCCCTCTGTTCTCATTTTGGGTGGCAACTGCAGCCGCCTTTTACAAGGAGGTCGATTTGTAACTTTTCACGTAGGACCCTTTACTTTTACAAGGAGGTCGATTTGATCAAGGCGTTGGCCGGCGAAGATGAGGAGGAGGCGGAGGTGAATTTTTTGGCGGAGGGGAATTTGAGGGTGCGGTTTGGGGATGAAATTTCTGGGGAGGCATTTGAGAGGGTGCGGTGTTAACTTGGGGATGAAATTTAACACAACTCTCAAACGGTTTCAACCGTTTGGGCTCCCAAACAGTTTAATCCGTTTGGAATCACCGTTTGGTTTTATTCAATAGTCCAAACGGTTTAAACCGTTTGGAATAATTAATCCAAACGGTTTAAACCATTTAGACTATTTTGACTTGCCCAAATAGTTCTAATAACCGTTTGGACTGATATGTTTTGTACTAGTGATATTTCTATAGATACCTACTATTTAGTTTCCAAGAGAAAGGCTATGGGAAGTCTAGCAGAAATTAGTTGAGAATCTGGATTATACCTACTATTTAGTTTCCAAGAGAAAGGCTATGGGAAGTCTAGCAGAAATTAGTTGAGAATCTGGATTTTCTGCATGCAAGTATATTTCTACAAAAGGCTATGGGAAGTCTAGCAGAAATTAGTTGAGAATCTGGATTTTCTGCATGCAAGTATATTTCTACATGTGCTTATACGTACTATTTAGTTTCAAGCTGCAGTATTTGCATTCGGTTTGAGCAAGCATGATATATTTAATACCTGTTTCAATTGGGGAAACACACTATTCCCTTTGTAGGCCCATGATTTTTCCCCTCTATGAAATCAAATGTTTAGAATATTTTGTTCATCCATGTAATTGTAATATTGTATGTATAATTACATAAGTTTTTTTATAATACAATTTTTATGCTCCATGTGTAGTTCGTACAATTACGTAAGATTTTTTTATAATACAATTTTTATGTTTCAACAGTGAACGGTGAATGCTCAAAGCTCCCAATTTTAAGCAAAAATACACATCAAAGTTGCTACTACCCATTAGCTCACGGTCAGTGTTTTAATATATGAGAAGTCTTGTGTTTTAATATATGTCAGCATCTTTGAATACACATCAGTGTTTTCATGGTCGAAAAAAGTAAGTCTAAGCAGTTGAAAAATGTGAAAATTTAGTTCATTGTTTGAGGTTATGTGCTGACGTGCATTGTTTTATTTGCAATTTTAGCGATGACAAGCTTGAGGTATTGTAACTTTGTTTCGTAGATGCAGTTTACCTCCACCACGAAATGAATGTGGAAGCTGTAATGTAAGAGGTGTACTATCATATTATTGATCTCAAGTATGCATGTAAGAATTGTGTATTCCTGTCTTATTAATAAATAAGAAGCAACACTTCTATGCATATTAGAAAGTTAGAAACCGCATCTGATCTCACAGTATCGGTTCTGTTCCATGCAAAAATAAGGCTTTCTTTTTAATGACAGTGACTCTAATGACATTTCTAATTGTGTTGCAGTTTTGAATTACGTCAAGGATTTCTTTGACGCTGAAAGGAGATTTGAAAGTTATTTCACGCATTAGAAATACCAACGCAAATGGGAAGCTGTTCTCATTTACATTAGCATACTACAGTTACTTTTTGGTTTCTGATATCAGGTTTGTAAATTACTTGCTATTTTTCTCATTGATTCTTGTAAATATATGTTGATGACGATGTCAGAGTTCTCTAAAATGGTTTTGGTGATTGGTATATTCAATGAAGGCTAGACAAAAAATGCTCCCAATTACTATCATGAACAAGGATTTTAATCTGTACCACAATTTCGTACATAACTCAATTGTGCTACCTCTAACTTTACACGAAACTACCACCAGAGCCAAGTCAATGAAAACTTTTGATGTGACTTGCATGATATTTTATAAGGTACGAATTAACAGAATTCACTTCAATAGGGAGCATACAAAGTAATGGAATCTGTCGAGGTTTTGGGTCTGGTGGCTGGTTGAATGCATTTATGACTAATTTTTAGGTTGATATGATTGGATATGGATGTTTAATTCAAGGGGTTCACTAGGTTGATATGACTGAAAACAAGGAGGTTATAGGCTGCATGAAAGAAGATTCCCACACCTTCAAAGCTAGCACGTGTTGTTTAACAAGCAATATCACATATAAGGAATCTATATCTTGAAAGCAATCAGTATTGGGCTTGGGTTCTAATTTAATTTTTAATCATGTATTGGTGAATAGTATTGTCCCCTAGAGTGGCAGTAGAAATTAGATGTTGGCGGAGCATTATAAACTATCCTTGGTGAATAATAGGTCTCATTTAGGTGTGGTGGATCCTAATATCTAGTCATAGATTGCCAATGAGAATACCAATCACTAGAAAAGACTTCCATATGAATCCTTGAATGAGTGTTGTGGAAAATGGAAATTTCTCAATTACTCACTTTGATCTTCTTGTTTTACTGCAATTAGCATATATGTGTATTTGCACGTGTTTCTCAGTTAGTCAGCAGTTCTTCCAGTATCATCAGTTCATTATGATACTCATATGTACGGAGAACTATAATGAGATATTTAGTTATGACTTTAGTGAGTTTTTTTTATTGAGTTAGACTTCTTGTTTCAGTGAAATACGTGTTGAAGGAATGGAGACAATGTATTACCTTGACAACCTGAAGGGAAATGAATGTTTCACAGAACAAGGAGATGCTCTTACTTTTGAATCTGAGGTGACTAGAAAGCATAGAATTATTAGACTGCTACTCAGAACAAGGAGATGCTCTTACTTTTGAATCTGAGGTGACTAGAAAGCATAGAATTATTAGACTGCTACTCATTGTACCATTTGAGTCTAACACCTTTTGCCGAGGTGACTAGAAAGCATAGAATTATTAGACTGCTACTCATTGTACCATTTGAGTCTAACACCTTTTGCCACGTAAAAAGGTGGACAGAATTTATCTTATTTACACGAAACAGGATTGCGATAATTGATCATCAGAAGAGAAGGAAGATAGTCTTGCATAAAGAGGGGCTCCCAGATGCTGGTGAACCTCTGTCTTCATACTTGCCTCTTTCTTTTGCTTCTACTATCTGGAAGGCTACTGTTATAACTAGAACTAGTTCGTCTTATTTTCCTAATATCTTTGGAGATCCTAATCATCAATTTACTGAAAGTAACTCTGAATTTATAAGTATTTAATTCAACATTCTCAATGGCATATATTTATCTTGTTCCCTGCAGTAGTATGGAATCCTTGGGATAAGAAGGCGAAAGCCATGACAGATTTTGGACGTGATGAGTACAAGCGCATGATATGCATAGAGGGTGCCGCTGTCGAGAGGCCTATCACTCTGATTGGACGTGATGAGTACAAGCGCATGATATGCATAGAGGGTGCCGCTGTCGAGAGGCCTATCACTCTGAAGCCTGGTGAAGAATGGAAAGGAAGTCAGGAATTTTTTTTCTATTCGTTCCAGTTACATAGTTGTGCATAATTGCACGCATACGTTACCCTTACACACTTGTTCCAGATG